AGCCCTTGGACCCTAAGAATTCTTAACAGCTGAGAGGGCTCAAACGTCAGCAAAGGGGGGAGGGAAACACGGATCAGGCACTAAAAATCAGAAGCCAAGTTTGAAGATAAGCCCAGGAAAACTCGTGGTTGGAAGGACAAGGTTCTGATCGCTTTGGGTTTCTTCACTGTGCTGTGAAGAACAGAAAACTGAAGAGAGGAAGCAGAGGTGCACAGGACCTGCACCATTCCTGATGGAGGCTGGCCTCTTCTCCTCCTGCACTCGTACAGGGGACAGACCTCTGGTCCTTGGATCTCCCAAGTTCTGAATTAATGCCCCGTTGCTCTTTTCCTTTGCAGACTCATGAGAATCGCGAACATCTTGTCATGATGGAAAAAATCCTTGGGCCAATCCCCTCTCACATGATCCACAAAACTCGGTAAGACCCTCTTCCTGAAGTCGGGCAGTCTGGCCTCACCTGTACAGGTATAACCATGCTGGAAGTGTTGTCCCACAAGTAGCCTTCCCAAACACGGACTTTCCCTTTGCAGGAAGCAAAAATATTTCCACAACGGGAACCTGGTGTGGGATGAGAACACGTCCGACGGGAGATACGTCCAAGAGAACTGCAAGCCCCTCCGGGTAGGTGCCGCTCCGAGGCCGAGCCGCTGTGCCCTGGGGCTTCAGGATGGGAACCTCCCTGTTACAGAGCACTCAACTCTTGGTAACAGGAAGTTTCTTGGCCTGGTCAAAGCAGGAGAGGTTCAGTCCCTGCCCTACCAGAGCGCTACACCCCTCCCCGTGTCCCCCCCACCCTTCTCTTTCAGACGTACATGCTGCACGACTCGCCGGAGCACGCGCAGCTCTTTGATCTGATGAGGAGGATGTTAGAATTTGACCCTTCCCGGCGGATCACGTTCTCGGAAGCCCTCCTGCACCCCTTTTTCGCTGGCCTCTCCGCAGAGGAACGGATGGTGTGCGGGCGAGGCGCCAGCCGGGACCTGAGCAGATGACGGCCGGGGAGGGTGCGATACCAAACCTGCCGGATTTGTACATATGGGAGCGGTCCAGCCGCCGCCGCGCAGCCCCCTGCCCTCTCCCCTTAGAGCTGGGAGGGGCTGGGGGCACAGCGACAAGGACCCTGGGGAGGGTAGGGGAAGAAAAGCTACATCAGAAAGCACAGATTTGTCTATTTATATGTTGTAAAGTTAAAAATAAAAGTGTTTCTTATTGTTTGATACTTCCCTTGTAGGCAGGTGTAGGGTTCTGTTGCTCCCCGCTTTGCCTTTTCTGCAAAGGAAGATGGAGATGTTGAAAAGTTAACTGGAAACTAAGCATCAGGAATCTTTGCTTCACTGGAGAGCAAAAAGCAAGTGTGAGTGGACGAAACTCTTACCTGCCTTTGCTCCAGCTGTGGCGTCAGGCTCTAGAACATCAGTGGACAAATAAATAGCTACACACAAACAGCACACGTGAATAGTTGCACTTTATTTTCAGGGCATCCCCCAGTAGCGGCAGGAATTAGTCATTACAAACATCAGGTCACAAGATGGAATATCAAGCAGTGACATAGTGCAGTGATCTTCACACATTAGTGACCAGAGCAACACCCACAGGCAGTTCCTAGGATGGTAATTCCTACTCACAACCTTAACTGTCTCCAACACAGCTATCAGAAGCGTTCCATTCTTTGAATCAACTCTGTCAATGTGGGGGAAGGGGGACGAGAAGGGACCCAGACCCCTTCCTGGGTCTCCGAGTGCTCCAGAAGTGGTCACACCTGCACATAAGACACGTTTCATATGGGTGAGACCAGCACCTCCTCAAGCAAGCCTACTTATCTGAGGGAAAGCCCAGCCAAAGCCCCAAATCCGTGCTCAGCTCCTCTAAGGGAGCATGCCACGGTCCTGCTGTGCCAGACAGCCTGGAGCTGCCTGTGGGGCCTGAAATGCTGTATGAATAGGGACTGCAAGTCCCTTACCTGAGGGTTTGTACCCTCTTGAGCAACGCTGCTCACTTCAATTGGGGTTTTTTTTTGCTTAAATGTGGGGAATCCTATTGCTGCCCGGGGTCTTTGTGCTTCCCGGAGCTACGCGGCAGGGAGTACAGACCTGATCCCTGCAAAAACACCTTCACCTGTTCAGTGCCCTTCTGCCAGCAGCAAAAGGGGACCCTGTGATGAAGCCTTTCTACCCTGTTGCTGCTGTCCGCATACAATCAAGAGGTTAGCAGGTGAACCCAGGAGAAAAGCCTGCACCCTGGCTGAAGGAAAGCAGAAACTGAGACAGCAACTTCTGGTAGTGAGTGTCATGAGGAAGGAAAGTGAAAATAAGGGGACTAAAAACCAAACACTGTGTGATGGCAACAACCAAGGGATGGCCATCCACCCTTTTAATCTGGTGGCTGCTCCTCTGCCTGGTTCAAGGTGAAGCTCGAAGGGCCCAGTGTGGCCCCGTCAGAACCAGGGCACAGTAAATGCTGCCACAGTTGTAGCTGGAAGGCGGTTCACCCGAGGAAGAGGTGCTTCAGCACTGCCACTGCTGCGGGCGAGGGCAGAGCTACGCCCTGGGGCAGCACCGACAGCCCCCGGCCCCTCCACGTGAGCTGATCCAGCCCTCAGTGGGGAGGGGGGCTCGGGGAGCTGGGGCTCCGGCCACAACCTGCTGAGGTAGACACGCAGAGTGCAGGTGGTTTGGCCGGGGAAGAGACGCGGCCATGGGGCCTCCTGTCCTACAGGCTGAGTCTTCCTCCACCCCTTCCAGGCTAGATGAATTACTCGATTCCTTCTTTTCAACCGAGGAAGTCTCTTCCTTCTTCCTTTGATACGCTCGGCCTTTGTTCTAAGCAGATGAAAGGCAAAGACCAAAGACAGATAAAGCCCGAGCTGTAAATCCTCACCCTGGGAGCACAAGTGGGTCAATAGGTTTGCCAAGTGGTACTCCACCTGCCCAGAGCACAGCTACAGCAGCAGGTGATCATTTCCACACAACCCTGAGCTTCAGCCCCAGAAGGGATGCAGCTCTCCTGAAAAAAAAAAAAAAAAAAAAAAAAAATGCCAAGGTCTAGGGAGCTGCAGGATCTCTGGGGACAGGGAATGTACCAGAAGAGCAGCAGAGCTTCAAGCCCTGCCCACACTCACAGCACTGCCATCTCCTGCAGGCAAACAGGAGCTGTGAGCTGAGGACCCAAGTCCCTCCTCAAGCTGGTTCCCAGCACAGGGGTGCACACTCACAAGCCTACATTATAGGCAGGATTTGGGCCCAAAGGGAATGAACAGATCCACGACCTACTTCCCAAACAGCTTGGAGTGTAGGGGGCATACTGGAAGCACTGGGGGAACTTCCCCAAACATCACCTGCACCATCATAAACCACACAACAAACTCTGAGTGACACTGCCCTGCTTCACTATTGCTTTCCCTGACACAGCCACTCATTCACTGTGCCAGAAAGAAGAAGAAAAAAAAAAAAAAAACAACCATACCACAACTATCCTGGAAAAGTTATTTTCCAAAACACTCTCACAGACCTGGGCCTCACCCACTGAGCGAACAAACAAAAAGCCAACAGAATATGTGAGCAAAGTAAGGCCTAGCTGAGGACATCGGTGGTCCCGGAGCAGATGGGACCCGAGAGCTCCTGGCTCTTGACACAAGCTTTCAGAAGAGGGCACGCTCTCCTGGAGGGCCACGAGGGACAGCAAGCTACAACTGCCTTCAGAAACAGAAAACAGGGGAGGAGGAGGCCCAAAGAACAACAGGAGGAAACCAGACTCCCCCTCCCTGAACGACTGCGACAGAAGGTATTCCTAACGCACCATGGGCTGCTGCTCCCAGCGGGATGCATCCAGCAGGATGGGCACACGGCTCCAAACCCGCCCCGTGTGCCACCCCCATGCACAGCCCCTCATCAAACAGCCGCCTTCCCCGGGGTCAGACTCCACTTTCCTGCATGCTCCTTCCTACCATGGCACGAGAGAACGAAAATGGCTTTGCAGGAACATTCGCTTCCTTCTTTTTTTTGTTTGTTTGATTTTATGATTTTTTTTTTTTTTTTTTTTTTTTTTTTTTTTTACACTATTTAACAGTTTGACTGTTTCACTATTCCAAGGAGTTTTAACACAGTTTCTTCTGGAAGGAAAACTCCAGAATTTCACATCCTTAAGGCGTCACGAGTTTACTAGTCAGGATCCACTGGACAGCTTATTGACAGACTTCCTCCTCTTCCTCTCTTTTCTCTTCAGAACCCTGCGGCTGGCTGGACTCTTAAGTGGAGTGCAGGGGGATGACAAATTTGCAACCAAAGGGTGAGTGGTAGTTGATTCCCACTTCCTGAAAGACCTTCTGGGGAATACCAATGTCACAGAGGTACAGGCGCCCTGCCCTCTCGCCCAGGGGCAGGGGCAGGCCCAAGGCCAACGACCACTTGGCGTCGATGCCCTGCTCCATTTCGTTTATTGGGGGGTCTATGCTGAGGACGGGTGCACGGTTCTGGTTGGCCCAGTCCACAACTGCTTTGTACCAAGGCTGATCTCTCAAAAAGGCATTTTCGTGACAATCCAGGCAGTTGATCACTAGGTCAACAGGGGTGTCGGGGAGATCTGAAAGAAACAGAGATGCCGTTGAGCACCACAGACCGGCCTGAAACCACCAGCTAAGGCTCAGGGCCTTCCCTCCTCGCACTGCCGGGGAGTATTTAGTTTTTCAGTCTCTCTGCACACAGTCTGGCCTCACCTGCTCTTCCTGCCGTCCTTCTGCAAAAGACACCAACACTGATATTTAAAAAGCTCTTTAGCGCTCTGGAGAATGTTGACAGTCTCTCCAGTACCAAATTTCATCAAGTGGTCAGCACTGGAGCAGCCCCAGATGCTGCAGCTCAGCTGGCTCAGCAGTCCAGGCAGCCCAGGGAAGCGGCGCTGCTCTTTCTCTCCATCATAAAAGGACCATTTTCTACTCCACAAGCTGAAAAAAAGTCTGTTTTTCTGGAATGCACCAACCACCTCTACTATGGAAAGGCAGCGCCCCTGCTGCCCTTCCCACTGAGCTCCATTGGTCTCGCTGCACTCACCTGCTCTGCACACATCTGCTGCGTTACCCTTCCCCAACAGACCACAATGTCCTCGTGCAAAATCTTTTATCACAGGCAAGGAGCTCGGCACAGAATATTGTGCTATGTCTGAATTTCCAATTTTGTTTACCCCAAAAAGTTTCAAGGAACCAGGTTTGAAAATACCACTGGTGAAATGACAACGAGAAGCCAGGTCTCACAGAACCACAGGGAAGTTTTGGTTGGAAAAGACTTTTCAGATCATCAAGTCCAACCACTCCCCCAGCACTGCCAGGGCACCACTAACCCGTGTCCCTCAGCACCACATCTCCATGGCTTGGAAACCCCTCCAGGGATGGAGACTCCACCACTGCCCTAGGCAGCCTTGGCCAGGCTTTCATAACCCTTTTGGGGAAAAAAAATTCTCAGCCTAAACCTCCCCTTGGTGCAACTTGAGGCTGGTTCCTTTCATCCTGTCATTTGTTCCTTGGGAGTAGAGAGCAACTCCACCTGGTTCCAACCTCCTGTCAGGGAGCTGTGGAGAGCCAGAATGTCTGCCCTGAGCCTCCTTTTCTCCAGGCTCAGCACCCCCAGGTCCCTCAGCCGCTTCTCACAAGACCTGTGCTCTAGAAGACGGAGCACCAATTTATTCTAGGGCATTCTAAGACATCTGGGTGTCGACAGCTGCTGGTACTAGCTCAGCAAAGCTGTTGGCTTGGTTGGAAGCAGCAGCTGGATGCTCATTTACTTGCAGTTTCAATGTGCTGAACAAGGCAGGCCCTTCTCCTAAGCGAACGGCTGGTCTGACTCACATCCATACGGCAGCTCTTCCGTATTTGCCCACACAGGAAACATCTGTGCCAGCACAACTGCTCCTCTGTTGAAGCTCTCTGCTGTCCCGCTGCCACTAGATGGTGCCACCGAACTGGGCAAGCACCGGGGAGCTGAGGGTGGAGAAGAGCAGATCTGCTGTTCGGCAGATCCCTTACCTTTGACGCTGGACACCTGCTGCCCCTGCGTCTTACTGAAGAGGTTCAGCTCGTTGGTGACGGATTCCAGCATCTTGACGAAGTTGGGTAGGAAAAGGATGACATGGACGTCGTGGTTGGAGAGGTGCCGGCCGCAGCTGATCCCCTGGGCCCCCTTCACGTGGGGGCCGCACAGCAGGGCTACCGTGGGCCGCTGATGCACGTTTTTCGGGTTCAGCCTAAAACACAGGCAAAAAGGGGACTGTTAATGAAGCCAAGAAGCTCTCACCCTCGCCCTGCAAGGGGAAAAAAAAAATTAAAAAAAAATGTCAAATGCAAATTGACAGGTGTTTTGCAAATCTTCCCTCGCCTCTGCAGAAGGAACCCACATCCTTTTGTAGTGCTGCCACTCAAGAGCTGCTCTGCTTGCAGGTTCCCTTCAAGGCTTCCTTGCCTCTGCAGCGGAGAGCACAAGGTCCTCGTCTATCCTGGGCCATCACGGAACAAATCTGTGCTTTCAGAGCAGGGCGGGTGTTCTCACTGCTCAGGTAGCAAGCCCACATGCAGTGCAATTTCACTTCTAGAAGGGTTTTTTTTCTCTGCTATATTAACCATACAAGCTCAAAAATATGGGGTGAGTTACCCCGTCAGCAGACCCCCAGTGAAAAAAAAAAGAAAAAATAATTTCTTCCCCCTAAGCCTCATCAACTGTAAAATAAAGGTGATGTATTTAACTGGCCTGCAAGCCATCAAGGGTGGCTTACAGTAGGATCTTCAGCTGATCAGGTCAGTGCTGCCTGATAGGTCATCACTGAGCACTCTCAATCAAACATCAGGTCCTGGTAAAAGTCCTACCAAAAAAAACAGATGGAGGTAAAGGCTCACCTTCCATTTCAAGAGCAATTCATTCAGAGCAGAAATCAACAACATAAAAACACACATGCAATTGTCTGCTCAGATCAACAACTCTGTGCTGGCACAGAGCACACCTTCAAAACCACCAGCACAGTTACTCATGCAACAAGAAGGAAGCACACTCTAAACCCACTCATGAATTGGGCCCTCCAAAAGAGGAGGGTAGTCTCAGTGTAGGTAATTTAGAATGGTGCAAAGGTAAGCAGCACTTTGTTTTCCTCATCTGGCTTCTGATTTTATCACTATCATAAGATTTTAATATGTGAAAACAACTCAAGGAAGGTTTACTCATTTGCAAAAAGGACCAGCTCAGTAGGTGTTCTGCAGTGGTTTAATCTGCCATGGGCTAGACCTGTGCAAAGCTCAGTTCCTTCAAACATTTCCCAGTAAGAGGAAGAGAAAAATCTCAGCTCTGCTTTGTCTTTGACTCGAGAGACACTTCTGCTCCTGGGACACAGGAGAAGCCCAAAATAAGTCACTCCTCCAAGGTAGTGTGTTCAAACAGCCCCTTCCTAGAGAGGGGAACAAAGCAGTGTGGACGCAGAAACCTACTGCAGACTTCCTCTCGCTTCAGGAGCCTGAGGAACCTCAGCCTGGTTTCCACAATCATTTGGAAACAGGCTGACACACGAGCTAAGGGAAGGGCTTTACCTGTTGGGTCCCCCGAGGAGGCTGAGGGCCATCTGACTGGCACACACCCCTGTCATCTCCAGCCTCCGCTCCAGAGTCAGCCCGTGCTTCTCGGCGACCGAGAGCAGCTTTTTGTGAAGCTCGTAAGACACGCTTGGAACCACCAGCCCGGAGTCTAGGGTTTGGAGAAAGGGGAGGGAAGAAGACAGAAATGGGTATCATCAGAGGCTTTTCCAAAATGCTGCAGACTGGCGAAGTTTTACGTAACAGCACTTAGAAATAATGACAGGGAAAATGCTTATTAGCTGTTACCAAGGGTCTGCTTGACCCAGGACTCCAGGTTCCTTCTGAGGTCATCAAATTAATCCAAACTAGCACAGTGGAGTCACCCGAGTGAAGCAGAGACAGATAAACACAATGGCTGGGTTTGAAATAATACATTTCCACAAAAATTCAGCAGGCACCTGGCAATTTTAGCGACACGTGGACTTGAGGAGGCCTTTTTAACTTACAGATTGAATATTAAGGTCTTTCTCAATGGTCTCCAGGCCACCAGTGCTTTAACCCACACCCAAACACATACAAGTATTTCTAACCACTGTGAAAGTCCAAAGAGAAGCTGTGAATCACACCCCCCACCAAAAAAAGCTTAGATGCATTATGCTTCCTGACCTCAGGAGTGACCAGCCCCAAACTTCCAGCTGCTAAGCCACCTACCACACAGCAAAATGAGCCTAGATCGGTGTTCCCCTCAAAACCTGAGCCAAGCTGTGCCAGAAGGGCTGGCTTCAGGCACCAAAGCTGAACCACCAAAGCAGCAGGGGAATCACACAGCTCAAAGAACAAAGTCTCTAGACAAACTGCTTCTCAGATGGTTTTGACAGCCTGGCCTGCGAGCCAGGAAATGCAGCATGTGGATCAAGGGAAAACAAACAAGAGAGGTTTTGTTAAGCGCTGAGAGCAGTGCCTGCAAGCAGGCAAGAGAAACACTAACCTGAAGAACCATCCTGGCTGATGCTTTTGATTTTCCTTCTTCAAGCAAGCCAAGCTGGCACTGACTCCACAGAAATGTACCCTGCGATAACATCTGCAAACTTTCTTGGAAATAAATGGAGAGGATTCCTTGCCACCAAAAGGTGGTTGGCTGTGAGGGGAGCCACAGCAATTTTGCACTGGTGTGTTGTATAGCGGAGGATGAGGAAAGTGAAAAATCTCAGTGACAGGTGAAAAAAAAAACACTCCAGCAGCCAGTCACATATCCCTGGATATCTTATCGGTCTCTCTATCCCACCTTTTCTCCAAAATAGCCCCAATATCCAAGCCCCTTTGCTCTGTGTTTAAAGATTCACACCTCTGTGAGCTATTCTTCCCTTGAAACATCCTCCCGTGAGGCCTGGATGTCCTTAACTGTCTCCCAGCTAAGGAGCAGCACAGCTTAATTCCCTCTCTGTACTAGACAGCCACAGCTGCCAGCAAGGGACGCTCTCAGCTCCTTCTGTCAGCTCTGCTCCCAGCTAAGCAATATCCCAGCGGAGTCCTGCTGAGCACGAGGAATTTACCCCGAGTTCCCACTCTGGGACAGGCAGAGGAGGTGCAACGGATCAGAAAGGCCCAGGACTCCCGGCAGCAGAACTCAGGGCGATGGGAGGCAGGCAGGTGCCACTGGCAGCCCAGTTAGCAGGCTGGGAGAGTCGTGGGAACGTGACATGGCCTGCTGGAAACGCTCTGCGGTGGCACGAGCTTGGAGGGGAGCAGCCGCAGCACAGACATCCGCTCGGAGAGGAAACCCAGCAGTTACTCGTGAGCTCGGGCTCTTTTGCAGGCAAGAAAAAAACCCCTAACAAGAACCAGTTGTCACAAGCAAGGGCTGCATCCAGATGAGAAAAGCAGCACGAGTTTTCACGGTGAGGAATGAGTCGTGCCGGGCGCCCCAGTCGCACACCGTGAAGGTGAGCTGTGGTGGAACGGGCAGGGTCTGTACATCTTGGGGTTTCCAGAGTCAACCACCGGGTGTTCCCGCAGGGTAACGGCAAAATGGTGCTGAACAGATCCCGCTGAATCCTTCTGGCCTTCGACTCTGACCTCAGGGGCCAGTGCTCTGCAGACACAGAGTGCCCAAATACTCGGTCCTTGCATGCTAGCTGCCGATGACACTACCTCTGCTGATAGTCCCCTCACTGCACGGGGTGCACGTGCAAGCGGGCACGTTATCAAAGTCATTTCAGCCTCCCGATAGCAGCCGCCAAACGTCTGGAGTCATAAGGCACTAACAAGCCCGAGCCCGTCGCACTAGTCACGCACCTGCCCCGCGTTCACACACCCTCCCAGCCTCCGGAGTCACGCAAGGCCCGGCTCTGCCCCCTTCCCATTCATACTCCTGCTACTGCATCAGGGCTTGTTTTTCAAGCTTGAGGGAGGACTTGGAATGAGTGACCTGAGGTCAGTATCTCTCCCAACAGTTTGCTGGGACACATCCTCTGCTAACCTGAAGCAGGGGGCTCCCAAGCTCTTATTTTTGCTCCTTCCGAGCTGCAGGATCACAAATTCCCTGCTTAAATTTTGCATAAACTCCCTGCCCTAGAAGGGTATCTACCCAATTCAGTGTGACTAGCCAGCATCACCTCTGGAACCACTCATATCTTTCCCCCGGCCCACGAGCCGTGGGTAAACCCACAGTTACCACCAGCTAGACGCAACCCAGTGCCCAGTGGGTTAACACAAAGGCGGTTATTGCGAGGGAGCAGAGGCAAGAGATGAACTTTCATTTAGCATGCTACACTTTGTCCTAATTGCTCCCTCTCAAGAGCAGGCTTAAGTGCCAAGAGAACTTCCCTTCTTCACACTCACGCAAGGTCCAACCAGTCAGACTGGCTTATCAAAACCAGGCTGAGGGAGTTAAATAAACTCTGGCAGAAAGTGATGTGTAAACCCACAAACAAAAACACTTCTGCAACAAAACTGAACTCCTGCCAACTGTAATTAGTTTGGGTTGGACAGTGCATCTTTATTGTTCAGTAATGAAGGCAATAAAATAAATTAGCTCAGGCCTTTTAATATTAAATAAATGTATTTTACAGATGCCCAGAAAAAACAAGTCAGATATAGACTGAACAGTTTTGTGACACGCAGAGTATTGCTGAAGCCTGATTAAACACAAAGTATTCTCTGTTTATGAGGCACACTCTCTCCTGGGCACTACAACCACAAACAAGTTCTCTCCTCAAGCTGCACTATGCGATGTTATGCACATCCTGCTCGGATTAAACACCCAATGCCAGCAGATGGACTGAGCTAACTCTCCAGACATGAACGAAATAAGAGTTTTTTCCCCCCCAAAGAAGCCCAGAGAGCGTTGCTGTCAGAAGTCCAAACACCTCCCATGCTTGCAGTCACAGGAAAAAGAAGAAAGTATCACTGCTCAAGTAGCTCAGCATCTGAGCCTCGTCTTTTCTCTCGACTATTCCAGCAGCTCTCTAGCCACTGAAATAAATACAGGAAAGCTGTAGGAATGGAGGAGATGGAGATGGAACTAGACTCCTGAAGACCATAGCTAATGCTGCGAACTCTTTCTTCTAGCAATAAATAACTCCAGGTTCCAGCACCACACAGCTCGTGGTGTGAGACAGTTCACTGAAGAGGGTGTGACTTTTGGCCATTTTGGGCAGATGGGGCTTTACTTGCTGCCTTTTGCAGGCTGTAGAGCCAGAGCCACCTGCCTGCAGGCTCAGCAAAGCACACTTACTTGCCCCACAAACATGAATAGAAAATCATTTGAATTTCTCCACAGCCTTTAGGTTTGGGGTTTTTTTTGGGTTTGGGGTTTTTGTTTTGGTTTGGTTTATTGGTGGGGGTTTTTTTTGGTGTTTTTTTTTTCCACCCCCCCTGTTTAATCATCATTATTTTTAATTAAGACAAATCCCACGGGAGTTCTGGCTGACCTTCCACCGTCAGCATCTCCCAGCACTAGCGCACAATTCACTCCAGCTGAGCAAAAAAAGCTGTGCGAGGGACAAAGAGACTTTGCCCCACGATCACTTTGTTTTCTCCCGTGGCTGGGTAAAGTGAACTTCATTTGCACTCAGCTCGGAGGTCCCAGAAACACTTCACACGTTCCATACAGACAGTTGCTCTAAGGCAGTCAGCCATAGACTGAAGAGCTAAGAGCTACAGCAAGCAGAAAAGTCAGGCAAGGCCATGGCACAACCAAAATAAAGCCAAGCTGCCAGCATCACCCTCTCCAGACGGACTCGGCCTTAGCTTTGCAGCCTGACCCTGGCACACAAGCTCTGCCTGCACCATCAATTTACTTCTAAGCACACATTTGCTTCCACCATCTCCCTACCATGGGAAAAAAGGTTTCTTGAAGTCTGGTTAGAGGGAGCACAGAGAAACAGTGATACTCAATAGAGATTTTGAGCACAGTGCTGGTTTCCCCCAACAATTTCTATGGCAGCTGAGTTTGAAAAATCCCACTTATTTTCCAGAAAATGAGATAGAACCAGCATATTTTCTATACCTACTAGAAGAAAATCTGCTTTGCACGAAGTCTTACTACTAGGTCAGGGAAGAGAATACACACCTTGCCTGGCATACAGCTCTTTACTCGTCTCTGTGTGCTCATACAGACACTGCCCTGGCTAACAGCACATCAGAGGAAGGATCAACCTTTCCAGGGTGGCAGGGTTTTGTTAAACAGCTGCTCTTCCCCTTTCAAGTGACAAAGAGACAGATCAACAGCCGCCAGCCCAAGAGTAAAGACTAATTCTGTATTTGGGAGCAATTCCTACATGGAGCCCCAGCGATGGACCCAGCTCAGTCGTGATCAAAGGTCTGGTAAGCTCTGTTAGCTTCAGGTTCTCATTCTTGTTTGGAACAGATCCCCACCTTCATTCCCTGCTTACTTCTAAAACACATGCTTGTATTCCTACTTGCAACCTGTCTCTGTAAAATTAGCTCCCAGAGAAGCATCTGAGCATTTATCAAGCTTTGTTTACTTCCTACATCAATTTGTTTCAGTCAGGAGTAAAAACACAAACTGGAAGCCCTGAAGTTCTCCTTTTGGAGAACTGGCATCAACAGGTTTGCTGGGTTCACTGCTGCCAGTAGAGCTCCCCTTAGGAGTCCAGAGAAAACTCTGTAGAGAGAAATCAGGAGAAAGAGAATTCCTGCCCTATATACAGCCAAAATCATGGCCTTTGGGGCTACCAGCACTCTGATTTCAGCAGCTCCTGTTCTTTGAGCTGCCTACAGCCTCCTTTAGCTGTTAAACAAAGACATCAGGATTTCTCTTCCAAGTGACCACCACTACTCCCAGCACACTGACTATCTTTGTGTCCCTCGCTACAAAAAGCCCTCGACTGAATGCCAGAACCAGCAGGCGAGTCACAACTGTTTACAAGAGTGTTTGCTCGATAGCCATTAGCATTTCCTAATCAAAAGTAAACTTCCTTAGCGGACACAAAGCGAAGTCACTCTCTGTGGGAAAAATCTGGAGAGGCACTGGGACGCTTCTGTCATTCGTGGGACTGTGGACGTGCCCCGCTCAGCACAGGCGACTGGGAACTGTAGTTGTCATTACCCTGCCCGTTGTGTGACACGACAGCTTTTCTTCCAAACAAATCCAGGATTCCAGAGGGGAGGCCTAATCACCCAACAGGAGCTAATGAGGCTAGCGAGACCCCGCGACGGCAGAGGGGAGTCGGTTACACCCCCCCTGGGCAGGCTTGCCAAGAGCAAAACAAGAAAACAGCAGCTCTTTTACTGGGCTGCTCCCTCCGGTGCGCCACAAACGGGCAGTCCAGAGTTTCCATGGTGAAGGGAGGCAGAATTTAGTAAATATCTTCACCGCCTGAATTTATTTCATTTACTTTCATAGGAAAATGAGGAAGGGCTCATTCACCCCACACACAGGCACTGGGTGGAGCTTCTTGCCACAGGACACTGCAGGGATACTGAAAGCTTGCATAGATTAACAAAGCAATAGGTTAAATTAAGCAGAAGGAAAAAAAAAAAAAACTCATCAAAAGCTAGTAATACTAAACTATTGCTTCTGCTTCAGGAAGTCTTAAAGTTATGAAAGACAAAGCGCTCTGGGGAAAGTCTCACTGCCTGTTTACTCTGTTCTTTCATTTTTCCTTCAGTATCCTTGGAAGCACCACAGTGTGCTGAACAAGCTCTGCTGTCACCCACAACGTTGCTATCTCACTCGAGAACAGAACAGGTCAATAGGAAGCTGGATGACACAACTGGAGAACTCCAGGATTGTTATATAGCAGAAGCACTAAGAAAAAAAAAAGTATTTTTATCCATAGAAAAGTAGCAAATCATCACAGCTCAATCGGCTTCCTTCTCTGAAGGGTCTCACACCTTCTGGAATGACAGACAAAGGACCTGACCCCTCTTCTGCTCAGTGGCCAGAGCACCAGGATGTTGCCTATTTAGCATCTCTCTACAAAACAATCTGAAATTTGACTTTATTCTCACGTGGAGAGGAAACATCCCTGGAATGCCAGAGTTCCTTTGCTCCCACATCTTGGAAGTGGTAAAAAGCACGCAAAGCAGAGGCAGGACACCACAACTAGACTGATCACACTGGTCACCCCACCACCTTTACCTCCATCCAAGAGCCTTCTTAGCAGCAGTGAGGACCAGAAATAGGACCTGCAGGAGAACATCTGCACAGCAGCTGGCACCAGTGAGCTACACACATCTCCCCTGATGATGCGCTGGACAAATCCTTCAATTCAAGCACCTGCCTACAAGTTTTTCTGTCCTTTGACAAATAAGACTAAAGGAGAAGGAGGGGAAGATGCCGTCTGCTCTCAGAACACAGACTTTACGTGCACATTAAGGCTGTGTTCATCCAGCTTTCTGGGGCTCAAACTTTTACACAGCAGCAGCTGGTGGGGAGACTCCACATAAAAAGCCTTTTGTATAATGAATGTTTGGAATTACGGAAGGAAGAGCCAGAACTGTTTCTTTTCACATCAATGGCGTTTAGAGTTCCACAGAAACCTGCAGAAACATATAATTACCACCCAGGGAGTATCAGAAGCCCATGAAAGCTGCCACTTACAAAGAAAGTATAAACTATGACGTGCTACCACATACAGGAACCCTGAGATCATCCCTCCCTCTCCAGAACCAGGAATCAAGTCCCTGTCAGGTTCATTATTCTCCCAAAATCAAAGCCAGGATTTGAATGGTTCCTATTCCATTTCCATTCTTGTTATCCAATCATTGGGTTTATCCCCTACTGCAAAAACACTTACCTTTGTTGCCCTATCCGAGAATTTTTTTCTCTCAGAAATACTGCCTCAAAAGGCAGTACAAATCAAAAGGTTGTACAAGGCCCAGATCCAACCTCATGTACACGAGTGCCCTCGCTTGTACCGCCTTAAGCCGATAAGACACCCCTCAGGGAGAACGATCTGCCTCATGTGCCCCAGAAAAGCAGCAGTTTGCCCCCTTATCAGTAAGGGAGGTGGCATACCCGTGCAGAATTCTTTGTTAGCGTTCTGGGGTACGACAATCCGTCTGTAGACGATGGGCTCCGACTCCAGGATGTTCTCGTCGTGCCGATAGCGCGCCGGCTTCTCGTTTGGGGTGCCCCGGGAGCGCGTGCCGCTCCTCCTCTCATAGGTCTCAATCTCCTCGAACACAGCTGCCTTGTCAAAAAGGGCAAGGTTCCCTTCGAAATCAAAATCTGTGTCTGGGATTTCATCGATGTCGTCCCCAAAGCACTCATCATCTTTGCTCTTCATCTGCCCGTTTTTCAGGCCGCTCTTCTTCGGAGTCACTTGGTTCGGGTGACGGCTACTGGATGACCCTAAACAAAAATAAAAGCAAGTTGAAAGCGTGTCATAAATGGAAGGAGCCTCGTTTGCTCATACATTTTCACAGGAAATTTTGTACAAGAGGATAGCTCACGCAACCCACCAAGTCAAGGGAGACTCGCTTCCCAAAAAAGCTGTGGGCCTCACGCTATGACAAGCTAACAGAAAACAGAACTAGAATGGCAGCAGAGACTTTCAGGAACCTTCCACAAAGTTAGAAACGCAGCCTTGACCACAGTAGCAAAATGTGTTTCTCCCCTTTTTATTTAAGTCAAGCTGGTGTGACACTAGTGACAATAAGCCAGCTGTGACTGAGGGCAGTTTTCGTCCTAGACTGAGCTCATATTCATGCAGGCATGTGGCCCAAGACTACCTTCGTTTGGAATCTCCCTAAATTTCAGAAACCAGTGTGTTTTCTTTCAGAATAGGCTGGCCACCTATTAATCTTGGAACCCTGAATATAAAGCCGGGTTTTTTCGCCTCACGCTTGCTATCAATAGTTACACATTTCAGAGACCGTTTCCTTATTCCTCTTTCATTATTCTACTCATACAAACTTGGGTCCAGACACTATTCAGCTGTTCATTACATGCATTGTTAAATTTGCAATTACTAAATAACCTTTCAGGCCAACTCCAGCAATTACTGGTATCACCTAGAGCATCCAACAGATGGGGAGTTCACAACAAAACTGCTTGTCCTACTCAAAATATTTCCCAGGGTTTATGATCATCACCGATTTATACAAACGAGTTTATTGACAGAATCCACTTGATAACACAGAAACAAACTGCCACCAAGTCACCAGGATGATGTGCACTCTTTGCACTTGTTGCCACAGGAGTGTTCACTCATTTCAGGATCAGGAAAGAAACTGGCCCATTCAAGACCACGTTAGCAAACAAGTTTGTTTTACAGCATGATAGAGTTCACCTAATGCCAGGTCTAACTGACACCTGCTGAAAGATGACTTGCTAAAGACATGTACTTGGTTTTCTACTTAACTAGGAATGTGTTGTCACAGCAAGGATTTCCCCCCCTTTATTTTTCTCCCCTGTTTTAAACAGTCTGTCATGTTTTTTCTAGAGAACTGTGACTAACCTGAAAGCTTTCCCAGGTGCCCACAGCAAGGAAGCTCTTTGAAATGTTCAACAACTCCTTCTACAGAGGGCATCTTTAGTACTTGAGCTAAACAAAACAGACCTTAACCCCCTAAAACACTCCCTGTTAAAAAGCTGCTGCAGCTTCAGTCTCCAATTATGCCAAAAAAAAGCACACAGGAAGTCAGAGTCCAGTACTTCACACCTCGAAAAGTAGGAGACAAACCCAAACTTTTGAGGCCTTGAAGAGTCATTGTTCCCTGTTAGACTAGAGAGAAAACAAAACAAAACCAAAACATCCTGAAAATCACTGACCACAGCACCAAGCCGCTGAACTCTCCAAAAGAGTAGTATCAGTACAACAGGCAGCATCAAATATTTATTCTTCACATACTGCAACCAGCAGCACAGCGTTGCGTCGTCAGCATCACCACACTTGGGACAAGACTCTCTATTTATAGAGCTTCTACTTAAAATCACTTGCAGTTGCTACTAACTACCGCAGGTAGCTCATTGTCAGCCACAGTGACTCTTAAGCTGCTAAAGACATCAAGGTTTTATAAATGAGGGGATGATAACGGCCTGCAGAACACACCTTTGGCCAAGAAGCCACTGAAGGGCAGAGAGCAGGATTCACAAATTAGGAGCGAGGAAAGGTGAGGCTTTCTGGCAAGAATTCCAGTACGCGAGCTGTGACTGCTCATTTACATGCATGGTTTTGAGCTAAAGGGGAAGCTTTTTATTTTTCTGCCCTAGATAGAAGATTCCCTTTATCCCTTAAAGCAAAGCTGACATATAAGCCACTCCAAAAGCGTGGCCAGCTCTGATTCTTCTGCAAAGCCCACGCTGCCAGCAGCTGGCCTGAAAAGCAGAACGTGGGTCTAGCTGCACTACCATGCAGCGGGTCCAGGGGACAGAAGCAGCTGATGTGAGCAGGCTGTAAATGCTGACGGAAGGAATAGCTGGGAGAACAATGGCTGGAAAGCTCCCCGGGCTCCCCTGCAGATAGAGTGAATGGGAGCCAAGACCGTTCCTCATCAAAACGAGACGCGCCGGCATTGTGGTGGGCAGCCCTTTAATCCACACCCATGGATGCCAACTCCGAAATCCTGCTGACCCGCACACCCAGCTGCCTTTTCACAGCCTCCTGACAGGAGTCTGCACAGGCCCCTGTCTGACAAACTCCGAGCAAAGTTACGGGGTGTTCCTCTTGCTGTCTAGACTGGAAGGCTGGCAGCTGATGCCATTCAGGGAAAAAAAGAAGAACAGCCTAAAAAGAGGGCAAGGGGAGGGCAGGGAAAACCTCAGACAGAAAAATTTAAGCTAAAAGGAGAAGTGTCTGCTGCCTTCCAGGGCACTGGTGTGACACAGCAGACCTAGCCACTACCTGGAAGGCACTATTCCCGTGGCCAGATGCACGTGGCTACAGAAAGCCAGCCCTTCTAGCCCAGCTCCCTTCGGATCACAGCTTCCAGCCCCTCTGCCCTGCATGTGTACGCGTGAAGCCTGTTAAGAAGAACAGCCCACGGCTCCACATCAAGTTGGCAGCTCAACGCCGCGCAGAAAAGCGCCTCCCTTGAAAGATAAACAATACAACCCAGGCTTTTTCTTGTTTCTTAGGGAAAAAAACAAAACCCTTTCATTTATGGCATACAAGCAAACGTAAAGTCTCTAGCAAGCAGGCCGCCTTCCTGAGAGATCCTGGGAGGAGCTTTTCCCACCAGCCCTGGCACGAAGGAGCCCAGTGCCAACGGGGCACAAAGCCATTGTTGTGAAACCTGCGCTGGCATTCGCTGTTTATTGATTCCTGTCACACAAGCGCTCCGAAGGGGGAACTCTGCCCCTGACTTAGCACGCTAAAGGGCACCAAGAGGACAACTTCCAGCTGTACCGAACCCTGTGTGACTTCAGCTCCAGAGGACACCCTTCCCCAGACATCTGTGCCACTAGCTCCACAGAGCCAGGACCAACTCCGGCCCCCTCCTGGCATTTAAGCATCACTTGCCCAGCTCTCCAAATACGGACACTGCGGAGGGGCAGAGTTCACTTCTCTACCTCATTTATTCTCAACAGAATCCAAGGGAGCAATAATCTACACCTAGCACCTTACTCAACTTTTTTCCAAGTCTGTAAAAGAAAATGTGACCTGCTGTTGTGCTTATCTAAAACCAACAAGCTATTTGTGGGATGAAGTGGTTTGAAGTACTCGCCGCTAACCCCACACCTACCAGACTCTGGCAAACCAGTGCAGAGTGAGGTAATCCCTCTACACGCTCTGGTCAGCCAGAACAAAGAAGAGCAGAAAGTGATTTTAGACATTTAGGTATCTGACATTAGTGTCTGAAGAAGTTTTTCTAAAAACAACTCATGTAACATGCTCAAACAACCAACTGGAATTTAGGAAGAGTTAGGGAATTTATAAAAAAATAATTAAAAAGTAAAATGAACCTGAAAGAAACCACAGCTCTCCTCCTACCTATGTGGTGTTTAGGCCTGAGCAGAAGTGAACCACTAAAAACCAGACAGGCTTGAAGATGGTCAGGCCACCAAGGGGCACGTACCTTCCCCGCTGCATCGTTCCAGCCTTCCTCCTCCCCGTTTGGCAACCATTTAAATAAAGAAGGTAATGGAGAAAGAGTTACAAGCCTTTCTGAAAATAATACGTCTTTTGAACGGGGAGGAAGAAATCCAGAGGTCCAGGAATTTCTCCACAAAAACACAGCCTCTGAGCTCCCTGTTTAACTGGCCTTGCCCAGCTCAGTTGGGTTGTTCTTACTAAACAAAAAAGGAAGAGGAAAAAATGAAGTCACGGAAATAACTCTGGGTATGTACTGATGCTCCAAGAATTAAGTCATGGAAATACACTGGCTATGTGCTGACATCTCAGTAATTGCACAATGAAAATCTGAAAAGTAGCATAGCCCAGGGGGCTTTGAGAAAAAAAAAAGAAAAACACCACAATTTTGGCACAGCACAAGAGCTGGCTGAAGGTTTCGTGCAAAGAAATAAAAATAAGGGATGTGCTGGTTGTATCTGTACATTAGAGCCCATTACTTTGTATTTTTAACAACCCAGCAAGTAGTATTTGTCATTCCTTGTCAGGCAATGCTGTAATAGGTTATGGTTATACAGGCTTTCCACAGAAAAGCTTTATAGTATTGCCATTTGTTTCCAGTTCCTTTCAGAGGAAAAAGAGGCTGGCACTTAGGCAATTTACAAATAATCATCGTCACCAGCATGATTCAGCTTTATATTTTCTAACATTTAACACTGGTGAAGCATAAAAATACAGAGGGTGCATCTCCACTAATTAAACTTGAATATTCACTTTAACAAAAAACACTGTTAAAGAACCACTTGGTTTTGGAAGATCTAAATTTCGAGGCACAGCTTGTGAAGTCTCTCTCTCCTCGCTATTTAACAGACCTTCAGGTGGCCATACAAGTATCAAAGCAAGAAAGAACAGTTCCCAGCACCGTTTGAACTGTTCTGGCTGAGGAAGGGAAGACGCTGGGGTGGCAACTCAGGCAGGAGAAAAGGGAAGTCGCAGGATAACACAACTACTCACAGGAATTGTGCCTGCGCCGGAAGCCTTTGGACTGAGTCAACGTCTCCACGTGTCGATCCATGTAGCTCTTGGAGCACTGCTGCTGTGGAGAGATGATAATATCCTGGTTCTTCATGTCCGTCCTCCTTGGGATATTCTGTGGGGCGCTGCTGGACATGGGCTTCTTTAACATCTTCCCAGTGCCGTTCTGACTGGGACCCACTTGGCACCCGACACCAGGGATGCCCATTTCAGCCTGCTGCAGATCCCCACATTGTATGCTGTCACCTGGCCCTGGGATCTCCAGGATTTTCAGCTCAGTAATGTCACCCGCCCTAAAATCAGGAAAAGAAAACCACACAGTCAGGAATTTAACATTCAAGGTAGCTTGTCAAGAAACAACCCCTAAAGAAAAACATGCAATGGGGTTTTTCCGATACTGTTACCGATAAAAACAAGGACAAAATAAAGGACTTTAATACTCAGATGCACAGGATATTTCCACAGACATCAACATTAAACTGAAATTACATAAATCACCAAAATAACACCTTGAGTATTTCTATACTGCACCTGGATTTTGTTTGAAATGTTCTGTTCCCAGCTGAGACAGGAAGCAGTCCAGCAGAAAATGGAAACAGGCACAGACCTTTGCAGAAATCTGCATTAATTTAACAGTTTCTAGATAGCACAATTAATCTCAGCCTTGAGGCTATTATGACTTCTAATCCATTTCTGCAGAAGGCTGCTCCTAGATGAGTACGATTCATGCTCAGACAAGGATGGTGTTTCCCGTTTCCTCAGAAAAGGGATAAAGAAAACAAACGTAGCACCAGCCAAAGCAAAACAAATAAGTGGTTACAAAGGCCTCCACTGGCACTGACTGCAAGAAATAAACCAGAAATCAGGGCCTTGTTTTTTAAACTCGGTGAATATCTCTCCAACTGGGATATAAATATAGCAAGAAACCTTGCTACAGGTTTCCACACATCTCCTGGAAGAATACGGTCATTGTCTTTCACTCACTCTCTTCAAAATGAAAATTTTAAAAAATTAAGAGTACTGGTTTTAGGGAATCAATCTTATTTAAAAATCAATGACTCAAGAGTCTTAACTATCATAACATGCCAGGTAAGAGGAAAACATCCAGTGATGAATGACTCCTATCTATTCTTTTTAAGCACAATGTTGCCAGGAGCTGGTGGGAAAGGGCTCCCAAGAGCTACAACATTGCTATGTCAATGCAGCTTTTTTGGCTCAAAACCCTCTCCTGCCTCCACAGAAGAAAGACCATGGGAAGAGACAGAGGGGATGGATGGTTTTATAACTGCACTTGATTTAACAGTATCGGGGCGATAATTTTCATTGCAGGACAGCTCTGCCTTCTCTTCTGTCCCACTTGAATTACATATAGTACACAGGCTGAAGGCAGAGCTTTAAGAGCATGCAGCCCAAAAACCTAACAACACAACATACATACACAATATATAGATCTATTTATCCCACCTCACCCACAAATAACCTCCAAGTGGGAGCTACCCAACTGCTAATACAAGCAAGTGATGTCCTTCAGGAACACAAGAGGCTCTTTTCACCCAAAGACACCTGGTAGCAGCAGGGAGATTTAAGGCAAAGAGCTTGTTTCTGGGGCAAACCAAACCAGCCAAACAGCCAGAGGCCTTGCCTGGAAAAAGGCAGGAGGGAAAAAGGAAAGGCACTAACCTGAAGGTGACTTCTGGCACGAGACATTTGACCCCATTGTGGAAGGGCTGTGTCAGGGAGATGGTCTGGCTGACCTGATCCACAGCAGACACCCGCCCTTGGTACACTCCCAGGCTCTCTCCACAGTTAATCGACACGATGCTCCCCAGCCAGTCCGTAGCCATGTTTCTGTCACTCAGTTGCTGTAAAGAGACACAGGCCTGACTGTAAGAGGATGCTGAAAGCCACAACCTGAATCAGCAACCACTGCATCCCCTGGCTCCCACAGTTTCTCTGTGGGGTGGAAATAACCCCCCTACAGACACCAACGTGGAAATCCCTGCGTGGGGCTCAGCCTGTATGATTGCTTGTAATGCAGAGCGCCATGTGTATCATCAAAGAAATAATTTTTTAAGCAAATTGAAGACTAACAGCTTCCAACAGGAATATTTAGTATTTAGTCCTGTCTACAGGCATCCTCCCTGTCATTACTGACAGCAAATTCATCATCACTTCCCTTTTTGAAATTCTGGTATACAAATACTGGGGCAGAACAGCTTTTGGGAATACTCAGCAGTGAGAAGATTGATCTCTGCACATACAAATGAAAATCAACACCTCCGAGGGAACAGACAGATACAAAGGGGAGGAAAAAATCCCAGCACCGGGATCCAGGACAAAAGTCTTCCTGCTCTCTAGACCCAGGAGTATTAGCATTCTCATTCACAATGAGATAAATGGAAATAGAAAGTTGCACTCCCCTCCAGCATCGAGTTCTATCAGAACACAGGGCGAAAAACACACTTTGTTTAGTTTGATATTCAGCCCCACATAATTCCCTCCATTTTGATGCTTGACTGAACTTGCATCATCCCACTTGGAAGCAGTTAAGCACAGCTTTTGATCCGAGATTTCTTCCTCCAGACAAAGAACACAGGAAGATGACAGGCTCACTGGCATCACAGAAGCACTAAAGAGCTGACAATTCATAAATGAAGACAACTACCACATATATTTGCCTTTCATGCTCTAATCAACACTAAGAAGGAGAACATTTGACATTTAGCATCAGGAACACAAAGACAGATAGTGCAGGAGATAATCCAGGAAGATTAACGCCAATATATAAATCATGCTTCTGTCAGAGTCATTTTAATTCTCTATGAATCCTTCCTGTCGTGAGCTTCTTGCAAAAAGATGAAAGGAAAAAAAACCTGGAAATAACTAGGATGCATGCATGCTACAAAAAAAACCCCTCACTTCCCTCAACTATCAGGGCAATGAAAACAAGTGATGCTTCAAAGGGAAGCAACACTAAATTTGCTCACTGAGCTGTAAACTCATCAAGATCAGCCTCCTCTCTTTCCTGTTTCTGTGTATTTACATTAACCCACGATAACAACGTCTGGATTCCAAGATGACGGCTGATAAAAAGCACTTTCAAAACACAGACAGACACACATATCCCCGAGTAGCCACGCTAGAACTAAAATCCCATTCCCTTTCCTGCTTTTTGTGTCTCTTTTTGACAACGAGAGGAAGAGTTTTGCACACATCACCATCTTACAAGAATCCTCCTCAAAAACGAGCTTCCTTTCACCACGAAAACTAAAAATCTACATCTGTGTGCAAACGTAAACTAAAACAAGAGAAACTCCTCATCTCAAAGGATCTCACTCTGCTACTCTGTGTGCAAATCATTCAGAACAGGGAGTGAACTACATGTGCCATGAATTATTTACTTCATCACACATGAGAAACGCGAGCACGTTTGTTTACATACGCACGGGAAGTCAAACCTCCTGGCTATTGTCATCCAACTCAAAGGTATCTTACATTCACCCGCATCTCCTATTTCAAGAGCTGATACACTTGCCATTCTTGCACGCTTTCAAAGAAAGTCAAGTCACAGAGCTCACTCAAAAAGAATTTGTAAGTAATAACTTAGCATGTGACGAGTCAACAATCTTTGCACACCGGGCACCGCTGCTTAAGAAGACAGATGCCACCATGCACGCTCTCCCTAGCTGAAAGATGAGGCAGTTTCATTCACCTCGGGGGAAAGCAGCCACAGAGCCTACCCGCTCGGAAAATGAGAGACAAGCAGGGGTGGGATACAGGCTCCCAGCAGGGCTGGATCAGGATGGGCTGCCTCTAGCCTGATCGCCATAGGGAACACAGGGACCCCACGAGATAAACACAGGGACCTCCCATAGATAAACACAGGGGCCCCTCCATAGACACACACAGGGCTCCCCTGCCCACGCCTGCAAGAGGCGGCCTGCCGAGGCCTGGAGCCCAAGGAGGGGAGGCGCTCAACCCAACCTCCGAAG